AAGATTATGCTGTTCATGTGAGCTCCATGTAGTCACACAAGCCCTTGAGAGTGGAGAACTTTTCACTGAATAAAACCAGAGGGGCCAGTTACTGCTGGTTTTGAAGAAGGGAGCTCTTGTAGAAATGGCCTCCGTATTTGTTGCTTTTCTGTTGCTGTAATAAGACACCAGAGCCAAAGGCAACTTGAGTTTATTTTGACTTCCAGTTGGCGTCCATGACAGTAGAGTGGCATGGCGCTGAACCAGGAAGCTGAGGCACATGTTGAACCCACATGGGAAGCAGAGAATCAAGGCAGACAAAGCCTGCCCCCAGTGACACACCTCCTCCGCCACGGCTGCATTGCCCAGCCCTCCCCAAAACAGCATCACAAACTGGGGACCAAGTGTTCAAGTGTCTAAGACTAAAGGGGACATTTCTCATTAAACAACCACCATCTGCACCCACTTGTCTTTGAACAGCTGGTGCTCAGTGTGCAGCAGTCTCTGAAGGTTGTGGGCCATCAGGGAAGTGGAGCCTTGCTGGCAGAAGTGGGCCACTGGAGGTGGGCCTTGAGATCTCCCCACTTCCCATGCACTCTGCTTCCTGGTAGGGAAGTCACACGAACAGTCATCTCCACTCCTGCCACCGTCGTGGACAATTCCTTTGAACTCTAAACTCCTCCCTTAAGTTGTTCTTGTCAGATATTTATAGCCACAGAAATAATAAAAGTCATACAGGGGCCATGGGTCAAGGACTGTTAAACTAACAGAAGTTAAGAAGTGAGTACTAGCTGAAGGCTGGGGAGGGGTGGGGGGAGAAAGGCAGCCTGACAGCTCCCAGCTTCCTCAGAGGGCCTTGAAGCCAATGCCACATCCTAAGCACCTGTCCTGGTCCTTTGCTGGGCTCACTGCTAAGGAGCTGAACCGTAGCTCCTGCTGCCATTTCCCTGGCAGGAACCGAATCCAAGAAAAGATCAGGCAGCCAGTGAGAGCGATACTCAGCTCAGCTCTTCCCATGGTCCAGTAACAATGGTGATGTGCGGTCTTCTTGGCTGAGCATTCGGGCCTTTCACAGGGTGGTTAGCTCTAGGAAGGGGACTTGATACATGGTGGGTACCAAACAGGCTTTTTTGTTTGTTTTCAATGAAACCATGAAACCATTTTCAGACTCATCTCTACGCATTTCCTCACGCTTGCCTTAGCTTCCAGTCATCCCATCCATCAAGAATCTCATCCATTTCCCCTCTAAGTCACCCTGTAACCTTGTCCTTCCCTCTCATGGCAGCCCTCTAAGCTAAGCCCTCCGCTGGGGCTCCTCTAGCGCTCAGCTGTTTGTGTTCCATCTTTTATTGACATGATTCAGAGCAGAGAGTCTCATCTGGGAACATCCAAACCTTGCTCTGAGCAAGCCCTTCACACGTAGCTGCCGGGTGACCCAGGAGTTAAGGGGCCCTGGTAAGTTGCCATCGGATAAAGAACACCTCCATGTTTGACAGTAAAATAATCAGTGCCCCCTTGAAGCCATTTCACCTACCTTCTCTGTCCTCCACCTCTCCGAAGCCCCATTCTGTCATCTGCTATACGGAATTCAGAGAGTCCGCGCCTGTTGCCCTGTTTGATGGAGGAAGGCCATTGGCTAATAAAGGAACTGCCCTGGCCCATTTTATTGGTTAGAGGATAGGTGGGAGGAGTAAACAGAACAGAATGCTGGGAGGAAGAGGAAGTGAGCTGAGAGACTCCACAGCTCTCTCGGGAGCAGACGCCTGAGAGAGAGACGCCATGCCCCGCTCCCGGGATGAAGCTCCGACCCAGGATGGACTAGGCTAGAATCTTCCCGGTAAGACCGGTGCTCACAGATTATTAGAGATGGGTTGATCAGGATGTGAGAATTAGCCTGTAAGGGCTAGGGCTAAAGGGCCAAGCAGTGCTTAAAAGAATACAGTGTCTGTGTAATTATTTTGGGGCATAAGCTAGCCGGGCAGGCGGCTGGGGTGTTGGGGACGCAGCCCTGCCACCCTTATTACTTCATATGGCGCCCACGTGGACAACTGCTTCCACATAAAGCCTTAGACAGCTTGGGAAGTAATTCTAGAACAAAATGAAAGCATTGTGCCTGGTTTCTTGGTAGCAGCAATTTCTCGGTTCTACTCTGCTTGCTAGAGGCAAGCAAGCGCCTCATCTAAGAGAGGCTTCCTGACTCAGCTTTAGCTGCAAAGCCTGCAGCTCATTAAGAGGTCCTGCCACGAAACACTTAAACGGTGTTGACAAAAAGCTGAACACATGCTTTTCGGTTTTCAGCCGCAGCAGGAAAAAAGCTGTGCCGTTTAAAAATGCCAACTTTCTGGGCTGTCCTGCCAGGACAAACTCTGACTCTTTTACGCAGGCGGTTTGTGCGGTTTGCAAGCACAGGCTGCTGAAGCTCCCTTGCTGGCTACAGCCAGTACCTCAGCCATGAGGCTGGAAAGCTAAGGAATGGGCTGGATCCAGCTGGCAAAGCCACGCCTTTAATCCTACTGATATTGCTTGGTAAATTAAAGACTCGTGTGGTCAGAAAAAGAGAGATATACAGTAAAGAGAGATTCAAAGACAAAGAAAATTTTTAAATGGTTTACAGTGTGTTAAAAATATATGCAGACTAAAAGTTGAAGTTCTTAAAGTAAAAAACAAAAAAAGGAAGAGAGTTGTGTGTGGTTGCACACACCTTTAATCCCAGTGCCTAGAAGGCAGAGACAAACAGATCTCTGTGAGTTCAAGGTGTAGTAGTGTACACCTTTAATCCCGAATGCCTGGGAGGCAGAGACAGGCGGATCTCTGAGAGTTCAAAGACAGCCTGGTTTACAGAGTTACTTCAGGTCAAAGATACAGAGAACCTGTCTCAAAAAGCAAAGAGTTAAAAGTAAAAATAAACAAAATAGAGGTTAAAACAAAGCTGCACAAAGATGGAAAATACACAGAGAATCTTGATACTGTATGCTATTATGCTCTCTTTGAATTGTTTGAATGCTGAGGAAGGAGCAACAGCTGCTAAAAGATATTTGTTTATAAATGCTGCTGAACTAATCCAACATAGATATTTTGAATTTGGATCTAAGGATATGATACTTTGGAAAGGAGTTTCTTATTTTGTTTTCACAGAGGATGAGACGCTGTTCATTTCTTCTATTCCGATTTGGTATGATGGACCACGCCCTCCTGAAGGGTTGGTGTGAACATCTTCAGAAAATTGCTTCGCTCAACTGCCAACTGAGATGAAACTAGCACACAGGTTATACCGTGAAAGACCTAATTAACGACGCCCCTATTCAGCAGGAAGCAGTTTGGAGAGAAAAACCTGCGCCCATGTTCCCAAATATGGTATATAAATGTTCTTTTACATTTTAAGGGGGATATGATATAGATATGAATAATTTACATTAGTATAGATTTTGCTTTATTGATAGAGATTTAAAGTCAATTTTGTTATATGTATAAGTGTTTCTGATTTTGATTAAGGTATTGTGATTGTGTAGTTCATTTAAATATGTACTGTATAATTAAGAAATATAGGTTGTTAATGGATAATCATCGATAATAGTAAAGCTTGTAGTCATGTTAGTTAGATTTTCTAGATATATAGAAATATATTTTAGATAGACATTCTTCATGTCTTTCAAAGATTATAGAATATGGCATTTTAAATGTTTTAATAACTGAGGATTTTTCAAATGACAATGAGACACTCTGCTCCTGGCAGTACCAATGTACTTCAAGAGGAAGATGGGCATCGAAGAGGCACCTGATGGAGTTTGATAGCATTTGGGCAAGAAACTGCTCTTGCCTGGACTACTGCATAAACTGGACACAGAGAACCCGCAGAGAGAGGACTACTGAACTTGCCTAAGGTGAGATGATCTTTCGGGGTTCCTGATTCATGAAAGAGTCTGCGAGACATTCTGCAGGACACAACAGATAGTGACTGAACTGACTTTGAATTTTCCTGCTTTATGGAAATGTCTGCTGGATACCATGGGCCTGAAGGCTGAAGATGGATGCCCCAACGGTACAAAAGAACTTTGGGTGACTGTCCAGGCAGCGAGATGTCTTTGTCATTTCTAGAGTTTGAAGTTTCTTAGTTCTTGTTTACTTAGGTAATATTATATCTTTCTGGAGTCTTTGATGGAGTTAAGAATAGTTAGTTATAGTTATAGTTTTCCTTAGTTATGATAAAGATTATTGTAACTTTGACTTGATAACTGTTTTGTTATATGTAATTTTGCTATGTTAAAGTTAAAGCTTTTTTTTTTTTTTTTGTTTAAACCGAAAAAGGGGAAATGATGGAGGAAGGCCATTGGCTAATAAAGGAACTGCCCTGGCCCATTTTATTGGTTAGAGGATAGGTGGGAGGAGTAAACAGAACAGAACGCTGGGAGGAAGAGGAAGTGAGCTGAGAGACTCCACAGCTCTCTCGGGAGCAGACGCCTGAGAGAGAGACGCCATGCCCCGCTCCCGGGATGAAGCTCCGACCCAGGATGGACTAGGCTAGAATCTTCCCGGTAAGACCGGTGCTCACAGATTATTAGAGATGGGTTGATCGGGATGTGAGAATTAGCCTGTAAGGGCTAGGGCTAAAGGGCCAAGCAGTGCTTAAAAGAATACAGTGTCTGTGTAATTATTTTGGGGCATAAGCTAGCAGAGCAGGCGGCCGGGGTGCTGGGAACGCAGCCCCGCTGCCCCCATTACTACACCTGTTGACCTAAATATAATCTAGTCCTTAAAGAGCTTGGTGTGTCCCAGCTCTGTTATGGACTAGGTAAACTATCTCCCTGCCTGAAGACCTATTGGTTAAAGGCTTGTTCCCCATGGCACTACTGGGAGGCTACAACAATCTTCTTTATCAGCCTGCGTAGTTTTTTTTTTAATATGTTGTTCATTTATTCTGAATCTTCTCATTTGTAGCTAAAACCATAGGATTTCAGCATACCAGATAAAACACAGCAAATTTTAACCAGCACAGGTTTTAGTGACAAATGGACCCATACTGTGGACACAGGTGACTAGCAAGTACTTATATTTACCGTTTTTCTAAATGTCTATATTTCTTTACTGTGATATCTTCAGATTAGAGATTTAAAGTCGTTTAGATGCAAAGGTGTTATGTGGAAAAGTTATTACATAGCCCTTCTGTGTCTTGGAACCAAATGGGTTTTTGAATCATTTAGGAGACACCCTCTGTACCTGTCTATGAGGCAAGGAGTTCCCAAAGAGTTCCAGCTGAGGAAGGAAACTCACCCTTTTGGGTGGGATGGCACCATTCCATGGGCTGGGGTCCCAGAATAAATGAAAGGGGAAAGAGGAGAATCTGAGTCCTGGCATTACCCTTTCTCTGCCCCCTGGTCCTCAGAACTGTGGGAAGGAGCCCCACACTCCACCCCTGTGCCTCGCCTGCTACAAAATGAACCCTCACCCTTCAGGCAGCTCTTGTCAGCATCAGGAGAGTAGCTAAGACCAATGCGGCAGAGCCTGGGGCGCCCGTGGGGCCTCGTGAGAGGGCCCCGGTCCTGGGGGAGGACTGTGTGTTCCTCTCTCTCTCTCTCTCCCTGGGAGCAGCCTGACTCTACCACAAGCCCCCCGCCATGCTGTGCTGCCCCACCACAGTTTCCAGGCAACAGGATCACAACTGACACCCAAAACAGGGAACAAAAATAAGCTTTTTTAAATACATAAATTGCCTCAGGTATTTCATTAGAGTGCCCGTCCTGCCCAAGCCCAGAATTGCCTTTGATGACAAGGTGCCTCCAAGAGACGACTTACTTCAGGAGATGGCAAGGAGTTTGCTCTCCTAAAACTCATTCCCATCCAGACAAGGATAAATGTTCCAACAGAGTCTAGAAGCGAACCACAGATGCCTGGAAAATCTGCCTCTATGGAAAGACTTTTCGTCTCTTTATACCACAGATTGTTTTATTTTATTGTTCTGGATGAAGGGGGGTTATATTTATTGAAAGCCAAAGGGGGAAAAAAAGAAGCCCAAGAATTATCAAACAGTAGCTAAAGTAATTTATGCATGATCTTTGAGAGCAACGCGTGTGCTTATACATAATTTAAAACTCAGACGAAAGCATGCTTCGACAACTGGGCGCGGCTCTAAAGCTGAATCACTCTGGATGAGGACAGGATGGAAACAGTTCCTGGCACCTGACACAGTCCTCTGAGACCCGACGCCCAGCCCAGCTTCTGTCTGGACATCACAGCCGTCCTTCACACAGCCTTCCCTTGTGGCTAAACGACTGCAAATTTCATTTATAACCCTGGCCCTACAATTACCCAAATGTCCTTCCTGTGAATTCATTTACACAAACGGCCCTCCAATTACTGACTTTCGGAGTTATTGAAGCAAATGGCAGAGGGCAGTGTCCATACCACTGGCCTTCACGCTGTTACTTCTAACCTTAGAGGGATATGCAAACTGGCCTGGCTTTAGTTCCAGGCATGCCTTAAATGCACAAAAAAAAAAAGAAAGAAAGAAAAGAAGAAAAGGATTTCACTCCCCTCCTTTTGGAAGTAGTTGGGGGCTGGTGGAGGGGGGGAGTGAGAGAACAGGGGCTTGGCGAGAAACCCACTCTGGTTTGCTCCCAAGCTGCGTGGAGTGGACTGAGCGGATGTGAAGGGCATGCTGACAGTGAGGTAGGAGGAGCAAAAAGAGAGGGTGGAGGGATGAAGGTGTGGGAGGCCACAAGAGCAGCCTCGGCCCACAGAAGGGACACAGTACAAACGCAATGGCTACATTTTACCAGGTCCTTGTTTACAGAGCAGGCACCCTCCTCCATATCTTCCTGGGGCCGACCATGGGCAGACTTTACCCCTTTCTGTCTTCTCCTTTCAATCAAATCTGAACAAAACAGAACGTCTGGCCATGGTGTAGGGTGGCTCGCCATTGCCCTCCCCCACCCCATCAGTCTCTCCCAGCCCCAGAGCAGCGGGGCAGCTGGAACAAATGTACTTGCGCTGCACCTTGTCAAGCCAGGGAAAAAGCTACCGGGAAGGAGCTGTGGAGAATGCCTGGCTAGCCCCACACCTAGGGGACACTCCCGGGGAAATAAATTAGCCATGTCTATTGCACATCTACCAGCAGCTCAGCTGGGTCTGAGTCTAAATCTCCTCCCCACCCAGGGACTCCGCAGGGGCAAGCTCCCCAAACGCCATTTCCTGGGCCAGGCTCTGCTCCAGGTTCTCCAGCTCCTGGCGCACCTCCCCAATGAAGCCGCCATCTTCATACTCATCAGGGGTCTCCCTGGGCAGCAGACTCTCCTCATTTTGGTTGTGGCTACTGATGAAGGCTGCCTTGCACACATACACCAGACTGTGGCTGGGGAAGAAAGTTGAGATTTGGTCAAGGTTCTCTCTGTTATCCTGGAGAGCAAAGCCAGGCTTGGAGCATGTCAGGTCCATGTGAAGCCTTGGGCTGTATTCTATGTAGGCCTTCAGACCTCACTAACTACTTCCTGTCAGGGTGCATCCTGTCACCACCATCTTACTGAAGAATCAGCAGGGAGAAAGTCCTCAAGGGGCCGTCACAGGCCTCCTCTTCTGTGACTAACTATTGGCTTGTCTGCCCTGATGTTGGAGATTTGGAAATTCACTATCACATGGAGTCCCCTCAGCCCTCTGCCCATTTGGGTTTCAAGAAGGAGGCCCAACGTAACCCCACATCTGCTGCACACATGGTGACCCTGGGCCTCTGAGGGAGAGGAGAGGGGAATTCTGGCTTTCTTCCCTGTGCCTCTAGATTCTGGTAGAACAGAAGGCTGAGAAGAGGGTGTGGGTAGGACAGAGATGTAGAGAACAGCTCTGCCAACTCTGAATCTTCAGTTTCATGAGCCTCTAACCTACAGTGCCCTCCACATTGGTGGTCCACCCCTCTTCCATGCCAGCTTCCTCTCACACCATGATGGTGTGGTCTGGGCTCCTTCCCTCCACACCCTCCCCCTGGTGATCTACCCCACACTGAATCAACATCTCTTCCTAGCCAAACCTGCTTCTAAGTCCCCCTGGATGACATTTTTCCTGCTCTCAGGCCCCGGTACAGCCACAGATGGGACCTCACCTCTGAGGCTGGCAGAGGAGTCCAGTGGCACAGGGGCATCGGTCCAAAGCGCCTTCGGGCTCCAGTTCCCAGGTGATGAGGTCCAGCAGCTGGCTGGCAGGGTCATGGCAGAGCTCCCCCTCCACAGGCAGGAATGTGCACACGGGGAACAGCAGGCCTGGAGCAGTCAAGCGTCACCGTGAAGACAGACACAGAAACAGACACAGGCTTGCTCTCCTCCCTCAACCCCACGTGAGGAAAGAATCGAAGGAGTGGACAGACTGAGAAGGATAGTGTACAGTTGGGATGAACTAACCCCTGAGGACTGGATCGGTGACGGGGGTCTTGCCTGAAGAGCGGAGCTGGGGGTTGGAGGCCAAACCACCAGGGGAAAGGAAGAGTGAAACCAAGACCCTCTAGCAGGGGCAGAGTGATGTGGGATTCCCCTCTGTATGCTGTGAATATCATTGGCTAACAAGGGAACTGCTTTGGGCCTATAGCAGAGCTGCAGGGGAACAGAGCTAGGTGGGGAAACTCTAAACAGAACGCTTGGAGAAAGGAGGTATAGAGTCAGAGAGAAGCCATATAGCCCCATCGGAGCCAGATGGAACTTTAGCAGGAAAGTCACAGCCACATGGCGATACACAGATAGATAGAAATGGGTTAAATTAATATGTAAGAGTTAGTCAATAGGAAGCTAGAGCTAAGGGGCCAAGCAGTGATTTAATTGATACAGTTTCTGTGTGATTATTTCGGGGCTGAGCAGCCGGGAATCAATCTGACAACAGCAGAGAGCTAATAAGGGCCTGGGTCAGGGCAGAGGGATGAGTCAAGGAACAGAAACAAAAGAGGACAGAGGAGCTGGGTGGGCAAGGCCTTGGAAGAGGGGGTGGAGCAAGCTCTGGAATGCTGTCCTCCATGCAAATCATGAGATGGCAGGCACAGGGAGGGACAGTAGGGTTGGGGAAAGGGAGCTGGGGAGGAGCTGAGAGCTTTCAGACACACTCCTGGCAAAGGAGAGGGCCTCAGAACTGAAAAAGAGAATCTACACAAAGCACCAGGCCAATGGTGCCTTTGTGGGATGTGGGTGGGGAGAGGCTTCTGGGACCTACCCATCTGGGGATGCTTCTCCTGCCCTGGACTCAGGCATCCTAAAGGAACTTAACTTGCATAGTCAACAACTGGGGAAAAACAAAGCAGGAAGTTCTCTCCCTACTCTAGAAAGAGACTGTGGGGCTGGGACACACAGTGGAAGCATCTGAGATGCTGTTGCAGGGAGGCAGGACCCTGAAAAGATGTGGGTAGCATTCTGGGGCCCAGCAGAGCCTCCTGAGCGGTGAGGACCGATTTCCCCAGCACCTCCTGGGGAACACACATACCTCTTTGGAAGGCACAGCACAGGCCAGGTTGGCAATCCCTCTGGTTGTCACAGATGGTCCCGTTGCTACCCTTGGTGGCCTTTTTGGTACAGTGACCCCAGACACACAGCTGGTCTCCACAGCACTCGCTGTCTCGGGTGCACAGCTGCAGAGAATTGAGGAAAACACAAGGCCCAGGGCATCACTAGTCTGGAAACCTGGGTAGCTGGTACTTCAGCCTGCTTGGCCCAATCAAAGAGGGCTCACATTAGTGGAAACTGAAGGAGGTAGCTGAGAAGTGTGGCTGTTGGCACAAGAAGGGTCAAAACACAGGGAAAATAGTACCTGAGAAGATGAATGTCTAAGTCTTTCCTACCCAGGTCAAAGACTTTACAAAGAGAACCTGCGTATCTCTGGCGCCTCCAGCCCATGGCTCTATCCTTCACCCTTTTCGTTTATTTGTTGTTGTTGTTTGAGACAGGGTTTCTCTGGGTAGACCTGACTGTCTTGGAACTCACTATGTAGACCAGGCTGGCCTCAAACTCAGAGATCCGCCTGTCTCTGCCTCCCAAGTGCTGGGGTAAAGATGGGCAGCACCCCAGTTTATCTTTCACCCGTTCTACGAGGCCTGCGGAAAGAAAGGTGGCTCAGGACCCAGGGGGAGGCAGCAGCAGTCTCACAAACCGCTAAGTCAAGTCAGAGCCAGGAAGACCCAGTCTGGGGGCAGCGTGCGGGGAGCAGGGACCCAGAGACCCACAGGGAAGAACAAAGAGCAACAAGAGGTCCCAAGGACCATGCCCTGTGATGGGGGTGGCCTGGAAGGACACCAGCAACTGCCTCACCAAGATGGAGCTGAACCAGGTCACAGGAACCCTTTATTTTCCAAATTTACTGCGCTTTATTTTACTGTCAAAATAAGGGAAAATATCAAGATTTCAAGTTCGTGAACACACAGCTTTGTCCCAAAGGTCTGCTGGGTGAAGCAGAGTGTTTCCTTTGCCTGGGGTCATGTTTCTCTCACAACCCACTTTGCTGGGGAGTCCTTCAGCCTCCTCCTGGCTCCTCCCTCTACGTATTTATTAAGCAAACTGGAAGCTCGGGGACCTGGGGAGCAGTCCAAGAGGAAAAAGTCCCTTGTCTGGGGACTGCATGTATGCACTACTATGTCTGCTGCTGTTCACTGTCCCAGAGGAAGGGAGAGAGCCTCGCATCCTCTCCTCCCTCCCTCTCTTTGCTACCCATGAGTCACACAATATGACCAGAGATTATGGGGTGGCTGCTGGTCTGCTAGAATGACACCCTTATTACTCTAGGTACCAAAATCTGGGACTCCTCCCCATCACTCAAAGGCTCTTGCAAGCAGGTGAGCTGAGAAACCCTGGGACTGCTAATCTTCTCCCCCTAGCACAGCAACAGAGACTACTGGTGTCTTTACCATCTGCTGGTCCCGGCACGGCTGGCAGGTGTACTTGAAGCTGGAGAACTGGCAGTACCTGGTGGGCCCGCAGTCCTCATCGATGATGCATTCCTGGGAGGGTAGGAAGAACAGTTTGTCAGGAAAATGCAGAGGTGTAGAAGATCTGAATGCCCTGGAAGGGCAGAATCTGGGTTCATCCCCGTCTTGGGGGAAGCACGGCCCAGAAGTGTCTGCTGGCTCCAGCCACACCGGGGCCTGCTCAGGCTGGTTGGTGCTTGTCCCCTATCCTTCACCTGCAGTCCACACAAAGTCTATCTTCTCAAGACCCCAAGATCCTTGAGCCGCCCACGTCCATCACACAACTGACATCTGTGTTCAGTGTCCCCCACATCCAGGGCTGCGAGCATGGGGACGCAAAGTTGCTCATACGTAGAACAGATGGTTTTAAGAAAAGGTGCTAATGAGTTCCAGGCCCTGTGCGACTGCGCAGAAAGGGCTGGAAGCCAGGCTCAACACAGTCCCTGCTGCCTAAGAAGATACCAGAGACCATCTCCCTTGGCCCTGGCCTTGGAGGCCACAGGCCTGCCCGCAGAGAGCCCTCCACAGGCTCCTGGCTTCTAAGAAGCAGTCAAGAGGCAAGGCAAACTTTAAAGTGGGAGTCGGATGGCTGGAACCCCACCCTCCCAGCCCAAGGGCCTTCTTATGGCTGCCAGCTCTGCTTAGCGAGAAACATCTGTCTGAGAGTCAGACCCACGGTTAATCTCAGCCACCGGAAACATGGGCCAGGAGTGGAAACAGTCAAGGACATCATCCATCACCCTTCCCTAGGACAGAACCTTCCTAGCAAGTGGGAGCAGGAGGTGACTTCTTCCATGTTGGGGAATGGTGGCACAGAGGGTCATGGCACCCTACAGGAGAGGCAGCTAACGCAGGCAAAGGGGTTATTTTCCACCACTGTCTTTGAGTAGAGGGGCCCAGGACCTAAATACAGTAAGCAGAGATGAGGAGGGCTCCTGAGCTCTGGCAAGCAGTCTAGAAAGATCTCTATGAAGTGTGGAGTCTGCCTCATTCCCATCTCGGGGCATCCTCCATCCTGAGACCCAGTGTGGAGCCCTACATGCCAAAGCACGGTAGGTCAGGGAGGACCTCAGCGCCTGGGATGGTTCTCAGCTTCACTCTGTGAGTTGAGGAACCTGTACCAGTGGATATGGAGGTATCTTGGGGATCTGTGGCCCTAAACATGTGCGAGCTGGGTCTCAGCAGACAGGCCCTGGTTCTCCTACTATTCTTTTTAATGTTGTTGTTGTTTGGTTTGGATTTATTTATTTATTTATTTATTTATTTATTTATTTTTGCGACAGGGTTTCCCAGTAGCTATGAAGCCTGTCCTGGAACTCACTTTGTAGACCAGGCTGGCCTCAGACTCACAAGGATCCGCCTGCCTCTGCCTCCCAAGTGCTGGGATAAAAGGCGTTCACCACCATTGCTGGGCAACTATTCTTAAGTGTTATTACTAAGAAAATTGAGTAGTCGCTGGTGTCCTTGACCCAAGTCTGACTGTTCCCTGGCCAACGCTACAGGTCTGAAGAGATGGGTGTTTGGTTCAGGACAGTTGCAGGCCTAGCACTAAGCTAAGGCCCCACCAGGGGGAGCCTGGACTGCGTTCTGCTCACCAAGCCAGGAAGACAGAGACATCTACAACATCATCCCCCAGCCATTTCAGAAGGGTAACAGAGGAGAGGCCTGAGTCAGGATGCCTATGTTTGACACAGACATGTGTCTCACACGCCAAGCAAGGTCTGGGCTCACTAGGGGCTCACAACAGAAGACGTGTACTGCAATTTCTCAACAAAACGCCAAAGGAGATCCCATCTCCTGACACCCCAAAAGCGACCTAACCTCACTGTCCCGCACATGGTGCAGGAGTCCTGTTCACCTAGCTCAGAAGCTGCCGGTCCCTTCCTCTCAACCCCGCTGTGCTGGGCTCTGCAGGGAGCTGACAGTGCAGCCCAGGTGTCACCGAGAGCTGCAGCACATGGGTACCTTTTCCCCTCCTGTCTCCCACGACTTGCTCAGCCCAGCAGACCAGAAATGTCAGGAGGGCCACCGTTCTGGCTTATACCAGGAAGAAAACAGACTATCTCAAGCCAAGGGGCTGAGCCTACGTCTGCTGGATCCAGGACCCCAGAGTGGCAAGAGAAGGTCCACGAGGATATGAGTCACCCTGTATCCATCATGTTCCCAGTCCTCCCACACAGCCGCACAAGTGTAGACTCCACAGATGCACGAGGCCCTCATATAAAAATACATAGAATTTGCATCCAACCCACATATATCCTACTAAAAGCTTTATCATCTCTGGATTTAATACCCAATTCAATGTGTATGCTGTGGAAATCATGGTTATATTGTACTGTCTAGGGAACAATGACGTCTGCCACAAATGCTATTCCAAACAGGTTGGCTGTGGGTGTTAATCCTGCGGCGCTGAGACTGACTGTAAGACACAAGGTGTCCTTCCTGACACCTACCACACCCTCCCATACACAGGCCACAGGCTCCTGGCATTTCTCCCAAAACCTAACAGCAAGAGAACAGAGTGGGAGGGGGTGACATTTGGGAAGGAGGAAGAACCAGCAGGCACCAGGGACAGAAATGACGTGAAGAGGTCTCTGCCTTTAATAAATTCAAAATTCAAGCATGGAAGGGAACAAGAAGGGGGAGGAGGAGGAGGAGGAGGAGGAGGAGGAGGAGGAGGAAGAGGAAGAGGAAGAAGAGAAGAAGAAGAAGAAGAAGAAGAAGAAGAAGAAGAAGAAGAAGAAGCCGCCGCCGCCAACTCCCTCGGTAGCAGGCACATGTCTCACGTGAGGACGAGACCTGGTCCTCTAACCTTAGTGGAAGAAAAGGGAAGGTTGGCACAGCTAAGAAATTCAGCTTCTCTTTCCTGTGTCACAGCTGAGCCCACTCTACAGGGTCCTAAGTAGCCAACTGTGCCCAAGTCACCAAAAGGGCTGAACAAGGGAAGAGGCTGGGGAGCTAGGAGCATCGGGAGGCCCTGCTGTTTTCTGGCCATGGACTCTTGGTGCTGTGCTTTGATTTCTGAGGGCTGGGGACCTCCCAAACCCTCCAACTCTTAGACTCCAGACCTGAAGGCAGACTGACACTCAGAACAGAGACTGAAGTCCAACAGAGAGCGAGGAGCCTGGGCCACATCATGTGGCCTGTCCTGCAGAGGAGGATGGGGTGGGTCGGTCTCCAGACTTCACTACACAGGTCTCTAACAGAGCAAGGTCACAGAAAAGCCCTGGCTGCCTCTAATACCCTCAACATGGTTAAGATTCCTATGCGCTGAAGTTCTCAGAAAAACAAAACAGCCACACGGCGATGAAGGTTCGATGGGGTAGATTCCTTGACTAGTGATTGTGGGGAGTCAGAACGTTGCCGGTACAGAGCCAAATTGTCCTGGGCTATTTTGGGCCCCATCACTATCTGTTCATTCCCACTAATATATTTGGCCCATCTCTGTAGCTTTTAGGCAAACCTTTTTGTAATGTTCTAACTGACTGTTAGCCTCTGTTAACCAACAGACAGACTGCCATCTAACAACAGCCAAGGCCTATAGCAGACAGTTCCCCAGTTTGCTGTCATCTAATAACAGCCGAGGTCTATAGCAGATAGTTCCCCTCACCTATCTGCTGTACCTACCAATGGATTTTTAAAGTCTTGATTTGTGGCAGGTTTTTGTTTCTGTTATGAGAAAAAAAATAATAGCCTTCATGAAACCATTACTACATTAGAACATGGAATTTATGCTAATCTGAATCCATGTCCCTGGGGAGTGGTTGCTCATATTTAGCTCCCAAATAAACTTTTATTCCCTTTTAGGTGATAGCTGTTTGTTGTTGTTGTTGTTTGCTTGATTTCCTTTTTTGATATCAACATTCCCATCTCAGTTTTAAGGTCTTGAAAAATCTGCCCAGGGTCACCCAGCTTGCCACAAGTGTCTCTTCCTCTCTGTAAACATCTCAGCGTGGACCCCCTCTTCAGTACCAGTCCCTTTCCTCTACCTGAGGCACAGCCTGGCAGCATCTGCCTGCACCAGGGCTGAGAGAGAAAACCAACACCAGAGGCTCTGCCGGCCTGGGTTGACAGGGGCAGCATGGGATTCTGTACACTGTAGCCATACTCTGTCTGTCTGTCCTGCTCCTCCCTCGGCCTGACAGACATCCCAGAAGCTGGACAGGAGCTGCAGCCATTCCAAGGAGGCCTTTTTTGTTGTCAGGAGCTATATTTAGGAAACCAGGCGGGAGGCCTGGAAGTGAAACCGAAAACAACACGGACTGGGCCAGGGCTGCCTGGAAACCACTCCAGGGCTGCCTGGAAACCGCCCCAGGGCCTTGATGAGACCCTAAAGAATGGAAAATGACACAGGAAGCTCTTGGCATCTCTGTTAAGCTCACAGTTCATCAGCAAAGAGGTCCTAGGAAGCAAAGGTCAAAAGCCTGGGGGTAGGAGGACAGCAATGGGTTCGCACAACTTCCAAGGCACCCGCTGGAGCCGGTGGCAGACTCCAGTTTGGGCTTCATTTTGCCGAGAGGAAAAGTGAGCCTCAGAGCCTCAGGCCATGGTGGGAGGTGAAGATTTCAACGCAAGTCCCTTAGATCCCTCAGGGGATCACTCTGTCTGCTGTTCTTACAAATGCCCCATTTGGGGTCTGCTAGATGGTTCAGCCCATACAAGTGCTCACCGCACAAGGCTGAGGACCTGAAGTTCTACCCCTAGGATCTGTGCCAAGAGAACAAATTCCACAAAGTTGTCCTCTGACCGCCACACTCATGCCACAACCACCCACACTCTGCCCCACAATAATAACCTATAAATTAAATGCTAATGCTCCATTTCAGATTTGCTCCCCCAGATCAAAATTTCATGTTGATGTCCTAGCCACTAAAATATACTGGAGTGATATTTCATTTGTATTTTAATAAATAAAGCTTGCCTGAAAATCAGAGAGTAAAACAGTTGCCCTGGTCAGCCTTACAGACAGTAATGACACACCCCTTTAATCCCAGTAGCCACATTAGTTTGCCATAGAAACCAGGCGGTAGTAG